TCGATTAATCGGTAGAAATCGATGACACACTCATTTCGTTTATCGATTTATTAATCTTGATTTTTACCGATTTCATCGATTTATATTGAAAGATATATCTGTTCATCTGTTCCTTCCAAAATGAAAACTGATTTCATGCAAACAGTAAATTTGTTGACAATTGAGTTGCAGTTGAGAGTAGAAGGATCAAACAGTTATCACTTTTTAAAACATTCTTTTAAAAAAATCTGAAAAATCTTATCTTTTCTTCAAAACCAGGTTTAAAATCGTCTTCTGCTTTGTGGGCACCCAGTTTTTCACGATTTAGACCTGCTGCCCTTTCAAAATAACAATGGTGCATGTAGTTTCAGATGTAGTTAAATCCCAGAGTAGCCAATAAATAAAAATCAAAATTGATAAAAATCGTTAGCAATCAAGTGATTTTTATCAATTGATAACTGAAATGGTGAAAATCTATCCAGGGAAATCTTTGAATGAATTTCAGACATCCCTTCGACTCGAGGGGATGTCTGAAATTCGGGCTAAGAAATCAGTTTACTGAGGTTGTATTTCTCGTGATACTTGCCTGTGAGAACTGAATGTACATGTAATCATAAAACCAAACCGTTTTTGTTATTATGTACCAAACAAAGAGTTTTAGAGAGAAACTTGTGTGTGTGATAGTTTCCACATTTCTCATTTTTATGTTTGTTGAGCAGTTGATATTTGTGGAGGTGTTTTCTCAGCTGTACTATCTAACTCATGCCAAAAAACAACAATGGCAGACTTCCATTATAAATCAATAAAATCATGAAAAATCTATAATAATAAATATCGATTTGACACAGCAAAATTATCTAGTTTATCGATTTTCACCGATTTCCCTTATCAATTGATAAAAATCACTTGAATGCTACCGATTTTTATTGATACCAATTTTTATTGATTGACTACTCCGGGAAATACATATTCTAGTCGATTAATAAAAATAATGCATTAGTCAATTCCTTGTAGTTATGTGTATCAAATGATGAAAGTATTTAAACCTTAAGCCTCTTGTAAGAGTGCTAGTGAGGTCTTTTCCGCTTATTATCTGATGGTACATGTGAATGAATGCTGGCTAACACAGAAGATTACTTGACATGTTGACCTGCAAGGTAGTATTTTTCTTCATTTGATTGGGTTGTCATTTGCCATTTCTTTTCCTTTTCAGAGAACTGTGATCTGTGTGGGACATGAGGCAGAGGTAAGCTCGACAAAATAATATTAGGTGTATAGAATGGTTCCTCGAAACACATGGACCTCGGAAAATTTTGGCCTGATCTCAAATTCTCAGCTGAAGCATTTGTGATTAATGACTTGAAGTCTTGTTTTCCGGTGATTTCGCGTCTTGGAAGCTCAAATTTTTTTCAAGTCTCAGTTTGAAGATTTGAAACATTGCTGGGACACCAATGATGAACATGAATCACTACATTGAACAGCCTTGAAAATTTTGTTGAACTCTCTTATTTTTTCCTGATGGTGTCCCAGCTAATCTACATTTTACAGTATTATCATTAGCATGGTCATAGTAGCATATCTCTTGACTGACCAACATCAATTTTCTCCTAACAAATTAATATTCATACTTAATCAAGAGGAAAGGTTATGAGACATTGATAGATATTTCACCAAGTGAAGGGAAATGTTGTGATCTTCTGTCAAATTCTCTGAACTTGTTTTGTAAGGAAAATTGTAAAATCGGTACTGTTTAAAAGAGTTTTAACATATGTTTCAGCAGTGCTGCATTCTTCAGGGTACCAGACCATATACCGTTAAAAACTTTGTTAAATTAGCTCACATGCTTGATTGCACACTTGCACGCATGCTGCGTGTGATAGTGCGCACCTGACACATGAGTAAGCAAACAGTGAGTAATTCATGAGAAAGTAAAGTCTTGGTAAAGGTCACTAGGACCCACTAGTTTCACGTGAATTATACTTACTTTTTGCTTATATTACTTGCATGCCAGGACATGTGGCATGTGCAAGTATGCAATCAAGCACATGAGCTAATTAAACAAAAATTTTTAAGGGTATTTAGTCTTGTACCCCGAAGAAGGCAGCATTGCCAAAACATTGGTTAGGACTCTTTTGAACAGCGTCAATTTTACAATTTTCAAATTAAAATTAAGTAACTACACTGTGCAGAGATTTTAGTCTTTATTACACAAGGTTATTTTGTAAGGAACTGTATGGAGATCGGTGTGGAGAATTTATCTGTGGATATTGGGACTTACAGTCAAACCAGGTCAAGCGTTCCTGTTGCTAATGAACTAATGAATTCATTAACAGAAAAATGATTTTGTTTGTTGATTCAATAACCCATTCATAAAATGAACAATCCAATATTCATCTTTAGCCTCAGCTAACCTAGATTCCATAATCGAATGTTGATTGGATTACTGTTTTTTTAAAAACTTCACTTTCCACAAGTCAACCTCAGGGTGAGTTCTGAAGTTCAAACCCAAACAAACTGTTACATGTACGCCATTTTGCTTCCAGTGATCAGTGCAACAGACCCGACCCTTTAGAAAACGCGAAAGTCAAACTGAGGTCAATCTATGTGCGGTGATTGGTGGATTTCGATCCCCGGCCTTTGTCAGTTTCTTTGGGTTTGCGGTCTGTCTATTCTAGCTGTTGTTTTGATGAAAGGCAATAAAAAATGTAATCGTAAACGGCGGGAAAAGGAAAGCAAATATGATTGAACACAACAGACAAGAATAAAGAACAGGTCGATTTTGTGCATCTTAACCAAATCAACATTAATTATTGAATCAAGGTCCAATTTGATTGTTGGATTATTCATTTTATGAATGGATTATTGAATCAACAAACGAAATCATTTTTCCATTAATGAATTCGTTAGTTTGCTAGCAACGGGATTGCTTGACCTGGTTTGACTGTAAAGAATTCACTAGTTTGATGTTGTTCTTTACTTACATCTTTAAAAATAGAATTAACCCATTCGCTCCTGGAGATTTTGCCGAAAAACGCGTTTTGAAGCTAGTCGAGTGGTTTTCTGGTCACTGTCGTGCTATAAAGAGCTAAAACTTACCATAGACCGGTTTACAGGTCGTACACTTGGCGGCCTTCTGATCCAGATGCAAAACATCAGCTTGCGAAGTTCGGGCATGTGCAGAAAGCAAAATTTCGAGATAGTTTTTGGGTTTAAAAGTGACACAGCAGTCTTGACTTTTACTTTTCGCTTTTTCTCCTCCCTTCTTTTTTCGCTTTTCTTGCCTCATTTTTTTTTCTCTTGCTGGGCATTTAGTAGGCTTCATTTTGGTGGGAAGAGTTTTTAGGAAAGCTTTTAGGATCTTAGGATTAGGTGAAAGGAAAGGTAGGTGGGCAATGGAACAAGATTTTCATGGAGATTTTCAGGTCAATGTCACGTGGTTTTTTGCTTCTTTCAGGGCTTCTGATATTTCGCGGAAAAAAACGCAAAATTTTCCGGGATTTTCAGGGGCAAATTCGCGGAAAAATCGGCCGATTTCGCGGGGGAAAAGTCAAAATTCGCCGGAAAATCGTTCAATTTCGCGGGAGTTTAGCGGAAAAAAGTCAAATTTCGAAGGATTTTAAGGGGCAAATTCTTAGAAAAATCGGCCGATATCACGGGAAATTTCGGGGGGAAACTTCGCCAAGAAACAATCAGTAAAAAACAGCCGATTTCGCTGGATTTTTTTTGACAAATTTCGCTAAAATCGATCAATTCTGCGTCGATATGACCAGCGTTGTTTAATGTTGTTTTTTTAACAGGGATAATCATTTGCTCTTTCAACAACAGTTTGCTCGAGAAATAAGCGAATGCTAAAGCTATTAACATTATGGTTAGTGCCCAGTTTTTCGCAACATTAATCTAAGAACGCCTGGTAGTTTTGGGACGTTGTTTACTCGTTGCAGTGACGAAGTTTCAAGATAAATGTGGACGTTTGGGGTGAATAAAACAGGTCTAATGGCCAAGATAAGTATTAAATATGTTTTGAGACAAGTATTTGGAAATATGTTGGCGGATTTCGCGGTATTTCGCGTTTTTGGGGGAATTTTGCGGGATTTCGCGGAAATACCTGAATTTCGCAGGTCCGCGACTACGCGAAATATCAGAAGCCCTGTTCTTTCTCCGGTGTCCTTGACTGAATTGTGCTCATTCTGGTATGGTTTGAAAGATCTCTTCACTCTACACAAGTTAGCGAAGAAAGTTGTCCTTGACCGTTAAAACTGATGACGTCACAAAGGGTAGAAAAGACCTGGATCCGCACGGGCGGTTACGGGCGGTTCAGGGGCGAATGGGTTAAAGTCGGGCAGCATTCCAGTGGTGGATTAAGTGATCATTAAGCTGTTTTCAGGTGCATAGAAATGAGATAATAATGTATAGTAATAATTATTATTGTACGGTATGTAGTGAACCATACATTGATATTGTATTTTTATATAATATCGATGTGCAGTTCATTGTTTAGGAGATTCACACCACAACTGCATAGTAACCACCAGTATGGCACTACATCCCTTTTAATGTACCGTTGTGATGTCATCAGTTTTTTTAGAGCACTGAAAAGTTGACACCTAACTTAAGAGATCTCTCGAATTATTGCCTGAAAGAGCATGATCCAGTCAAACAAGCCAGAGAGAAATGCAGGGAATCATGTAACCTTGACCATAAAATCTCATGGTAAAACTAGTTCCACTACTATACGTAAAGAAACATTTACATCTCTTGTCACTGTGATAAAGGCCAGAAAATGCCCAGCAAAAGAAGAAAAAACGGGGAAAAACAAATTATAAAAAAGGCGAGCGAGAGAAAGCTACTGAAACTGGCCGAGTTCCGCCTGGGTTCTGGCTCACTGGCAGTGAATTTATGTGCTTTTAATTTACCTTTTTAAAATTGTTGTATGCCAATGCAAGGATCATAGTATAATTTATTTTAAGGAACCCTGAAGATGCTATAAAATGTGTTTGTATTTTGTTGTTGTGTCAGGCCTTATGATTAAAAGATCATGCACCACTCAGAATAATTCTGTGGATGATGATATTGTTATGAAGTCCATTGATTGAAACTGCATTTTGGCCCGTGAAAGTTTTAAAAGATGAAAATTTACTATAAAATCAGCTAGTGCGTTTTGATGTTGTCATGCCCTTTAATTTTTTCGTTCAATAGGTGGGCTAAATGATGGTGGTGTTTTATCATCATGCTGCTTGATGGTCAAGATTAATATGGGGCAGAGCTGGTCACGCTAGCTGTTGGCCTGGTGAAAAGGTACATTTGTATGAGTAAGCATGAGTACAATCATTCATTAAACAGAAGTTTTATCCTGTCTTCACTGTCAAGATCGAAGCATTTTTGTGAATTGTAGCTTAAAAATACTCACTAGGTGTAAATTTTGAGATGTTAACCTTCCATAAGCTTTGAAGTATTTTCCTAAAATTACACAAGTTTGCTTTTGTCTTATCTCACAGTACTCTTGCCTCAACGACTGAAGCTACAATCAAATGAAAACAAACAGAATCATTTTGCCTCCAATTTATTATCTTAGTAACATGTATCAAATGATGAAAGTGTTAAAACCTTAAGCCTCTTGTAAGAGTGCTAGTGAGGTCTTTTCCGCTTATTATCTGATGGTATGTGTAGATGAATGGAGATTGAACACATTTACATGTTGATCCACATGTAACAGCTATCTTTTATGGTTACTGAGGCTGTTATTTTCCACCTTAAACAAAGGACATTTTTCTTTTCTTTTCAGATGGCAGGAACATTGCTTGAGTCAAACGTAAGTTTTCTGAAAACTGTTGATGTTCTGCGTGTTATAAAATGACAACATGTTGCTGGGAGACCAAATGATGAACATGAATTAATAACTTTTAAAGTCCTTTTATTGGTATACAAGGCCCTTCATGGCCTTGCACCTTCTTATATTTCTGACCTTTTGAATTTTAAAACATACTCTAGGTCATTGCGTTCTTCATGTAAAGAATACTTAGTGGTTCCAAGAAGCAGATTGAAAACATATGGAGACAGAGCTTTCTCTATTGCAGGACCTAAATTGAGGAACGATTTACCTCTAGAGATTAGGAAATGTGCTTCAGTGGCGACTTTTAAGCAATCCCTTAAAACTTTTTTATTTAAGTTAGCATATAGGTTATGAGATTCCTTTTGTTTTGAGATGTTTTTGATTTATATAGTAGATAACTTAGGCTATATTTGAATTATATTGTATATTGTAGATATTTTATATTTTATATTTTTTATATTTTATTTTGTAATTAGGTAGCGCTTTGGACAATTATTGGATTTTAGCGCTATATAAATAAAATTATTATTATTATTATTATTTATGAATCGCTACATTGAACATTCATGAAAATTATGTCAAACACTCTAATTTTTTCCTGATGGTGCTCCTGAGCTACTTTTAAATGATCAAAAGCATCTCCTTCCTGTGTTCATGATCAGAGATGTCTTTTTCTTTTCCCAAAATAGTTTAAAAACTTGAGCAGCATTCCTTTGATGAATGAAAGCAGAAATCTGTTTCCTGATCATGAGGTACAATTTTTGTTGTCAAACAAATGTTATAATCTAAGGGCACTTATCAAAAGACAAAACCATCTGTCACACTGCGGGAACAAACATTTTTGAAAATGAGAAAAGCCTATTTTGTCATAGCATGAGAAAGCTGCCAACATTTTGTGACTCCACCACTGGTTTCCCTAATGATGTCTGAGAAACAAGCGCAGAAATCAGTTCCATACTGGCAGATCAAGCATAACTACCCAGATCTGGGTACTGCTTCTGATTGGTTGAAGCAAATTTTCAACTAAACAAAGCCAGTGGTGGCATTGCAAAGTGTTGGCTGTTTTCTCAGGCTAATTTGGGGAGCTTTTGCTCAAAAATCTATCTCTGGTGTACAGCCTCGTTCCCATGGTCCTCTCCTACTCTCTTGTTCTTGCTCCAGGGGATGATTAGGATAGGAGCCTGGGGACAAGGTTGCTCCGCAGTGCACACTAGTAAGACTTAGTAGTATAACAAACTAATCTGGCCTAAACTGGTTTGGTCTAGCTGGCCATTTCTTACTTAATGGTAATTGCCCTAAGAAAATAGCACATAAGTAGTATTTAAGTGCTGAACTTCCATTTTAAGTGAGGTTTTTTATGTCCCTTTGCGAAATGCTTTCACATAAAAATATTGAGACTTTTCACACATCAAGATTAGCTCCTTAAACGTCTTGATGCTCACATAAAAGTCAAGTAATTAAAATCTCAACCAAATGTTATTAGCAGCACTTTAAATGGCCCAAATGCATTAAGGTAGGCCTACACGCCACAATTTGTCTGCCCGAAGAACTGCAAAATTACACGCTACAACTTAATTATTGACAGGGGGTATTGAGCCGATCTCTCTGCCTAAAGAAATTCACCTCAATAAAAGTTGTACGGCCTATTTGATGTTTCATTTGATATTTTTAGAATATTAGTCATGATTAGTTTAAATTTGTTTTTGTTTTTTTTCCAGCCTGTGTCAAACCATGATTCCTGGACTGCACTTGATCATTGTATATCTTGGGGTAGTCCCCATTCTTGTAATCCGCACAAGAGATGCTGTATGAATGATGCATTTTTCTTCACGTTTGTAAAATATACACTGTCGTCAATAAAAACAATTTGTGATGATTAACTTCTTGGAATATTGTACAGATACAATCAAACCCCGTTAATACGCACACTCCAGGAAAGGGGGGAGGGGGTGGGGGGATGGGGCGGGCATAGAAAGTGTCCGTATTAACGAGGTGTCATATATGAAGAAAGATGTTAAATTTTAAGCTCGGTGAAGAAATGAATGATGTGATCAACATGTCACGAGTGATGGAACAAAGAAAGAAGACTGAGTCCCCATACACCGGTTGGATGCTCTAAGCACTGAGCTATGAGGGACTGAAGGACTCGTGGCGTGTTGGGCCATATACAAGGTTCATGTATGACATGCATCCTGCGTACTGCCAGGGTCAGCAATGTCGAAATCATCATGTCACGTGGCGTCCTTATTAAACGCGTTGAATTTAGAGAAAATGTAAGAGCTAGGGACGTGAAAAACTGTCCGTAATACCAACATGTCCGTATTAAGCAGGTTTCCAAACTCAAAACTCGAACATGGACTTGAACTCGTACTTGGAAGAAGATTATCCCATCACAACGTTTTTTGAAAACAAAATATTCTCACGTTTTTTTTGAAATGGAACTAGTAAAATCCAAGGTTC